ATTTTTTTATTTTTTACCCTTTAGGAAGCCTCAAATTTTATTCTAACCAAATATTATCAAATAAACCCAGATACACCGTCAGATGGCGAATAAAAAGGTTATATTTCTGTTGTAGATTTTGTAATCACAACCCAGCACAACTATCTATGATAGAACTCAAAGTTTGCCAGAAAACCGTACTCTTTGTTAATCACACGAAACACGGCTAGTGATCTATTATAATATTTTATAGTTAAAATGTAGCTTGCACTTTACTCGGCTTGGTGAGGTAAGAATGAATTTCACATCTATTTCTGTTTTCGTGTAATTAAACTTGAAAGACTCTTAGCTTTTCGAAAAAGCTTCGATTTTCTTCTAAACCATACGGCAGATCATCTTATAAAACATCTCTTTTTACACTGTTAGTGCGAGATCTTACAAACTGACACTTCTGTGGATTAGGGATGGAAAAATCAACAAAATTTTTGTTTTTTTCACTTAATGATTTTGTTACTTGTACTTGTCATTTTTCGAATGTACTTCACACTTACATAAGCAGTTGTGACTCATGTGAAAGACTATACCAACTGATGTATTTGGAGTTGACTTTTGAGACCAATGAATTTTTGATGAAACATATGGAACAACAATTATTTTTACAAAAATACTGTGACATTCGTAATATGTCAAAAATAATATAAATTCGTGTGAATCAAAAATGCTCTTAAAAAAACTTTTCTGAATGAGAAACCTTCGGTTTAATAGTCTATTCAAACACTTACGCTGGAACCTCGCTAAGTGATTAAAAGCTTACACTGACGTGCTACTTTGCCCAAAACATTGGCCTTAGTGAATTAATAAAACGCATTAAGAGCATTTGAGTTTCTGACTCTTTTGTTAAAAGTTATGAGTATGTCAAATTTGCTGTGGAGGACGTGATTGTGGCACCAAAAGTTACAGTTTTCGATGCATGGACACTAGAGTTGAGATTTTTACTCTATGAAAGTATTAAGCATCGACTACTTACTCCCCTAATTTGCGTTCTGAAGCTCTTTTGAATCGTCGGAAACTAAAAGAATTCAATTTTAAAAGAATTATAGTAGATTTTTTCTATAAAAAACAGAAGTGTAATAATGAAAGAGCTATTTATTTTTCTGTTTTCGAGTGTGATCAAAGAGAGTATTTGAAATGACCGAGTAGTTTCTGAAACATGTATCCGTTGTACGCTTTTCCGTCTTGAGTCATAGAGCACTAGCGATAGCTGTTACGTATCATAATTGATAAGTCATTAAGTAGAGTTTCATCCGATAGTGAAAATTCTGCGACTGAATAGTCGATGCTTAATACTTTCATAGAGTAAAAATCTCAACTCTAGTGTCCATGCATCGAAAACTGTAACTTTTGGTCCCACAATCACGTCCTCCACAGCAAATTTAACATACTCATAACTTTTAACAAAAGAGTCAGAAACTCAAATGCTCTTAATGCGTTTTATTAATTCACTAAGGCCAATGTTTTGGGCAAAGTAGCACGTCAGTGTAAGCTTTTAATCACTTAGCGAGGTTCCGCCGTCAGATTGTAAGATCTCATCCCTAGTGAAAGTACTCATACTATGAGTACGACTTTACTCATATGAGTTGTTCTAACAACTTTTGAGTATTGTTACTCAGTGAGTACTCGGAAAATATTCATTCCCATTTTGTTTTGCAAAATTGAAACTGTATAAAGAACGCAGAATTTAGTAAAGAAAATAGAATATTTATATTATTTTTTTCTCGCCGGTCTCTCTGTATATAGTCAAAGATGGACTTGTCAACTCTGGCTGCCTGAGATCACTCGCCTATATGAAAATACCAGATAAACAATACTCATGAGTATTTTGCTAAAAGTTATACGCGTACTCAACAATACTCAAGCATGAATACTCAGAGTCGTCCCCATAGTACTTATTACCCACTTTCGGTGCTAGCACACAGCAGGAAATTTGCAAAAGTTTGGGACGCATTTAAACGCGTCAGTTGAAAACTTTGCCATTACCACGCGTTTTTCCCTTAGACAATATCCAACTTTTTTAACGCCTTGAAATCGTTTATAGTTCTAGCGCATTTAAACGCGTTTATTTTTCGAAATAAATATTTACAACTGTCTTCGACGCGTTGAAAAAACGTGGAAAACGGTTTCATCGCGTCAAAAAACACGATTTTAAATGCAAAACTCGTAAAAATGCGTCGAAACTAAGAGGAAACCAATCATCAAACTCACTCGAAAGTTTAACTGTTCAATCTCTGTATACCGCGATGTATTTGGATTGGGAAATAAAAACTGAGCTTTTCTAGGCGCAGAAAAATGAAAAAATGAATCTCGTGGTCATGTTTTGACCAAGTTCCGCACGATCTTTTTTAGAATCAAGTATGGATCTATGTAGTACTCGACATGCTCTACAAGATATACTTTCTGATCGTGTAAAAACGGGAGGAACTATGTAAAATTAACCGTTACCATTTAATTCTGATTGTGTACTAAACGATAAATGCGAATCTGTATTTAAATAATGATCACCAAAGGGTAAAGTCCACGCTACATCACCACCGATGTACTTTATATCAGTCATTCTCTTCTTCTCAAGTACACAGTATAGTATATTCACGACAGATTTACACTAATGTGCATCTATTACTCAAAAAAAGAAAGTCCATTATTTTATTCTTCTCCATGACTGTTCCTTCAAAATCATATTTTTACTCGTTCAGATAGGATGAAATTTTTTTCCAATGCGACTGGCTATCATACCAACTGAGAACAAGTAGATTTTATAATAAGTTGTTTATTAAAATTATCTAAAACTCAACAACAAAATCGTTCTTATAAACATTTGAAAATCCGTTGAAATGTGCTCGAAAAGACCTTAAAGAACAAAACTCGTATTTCCGAAAGGCATTGATTGATAGTTGGCTATCTATGTATGATTTTACAAGATCGTGTAAGATCCTGGGCCCAGGTCAAAAAATCAGATACTCAGCTGGGCAGCTTAGAGTATTCTGCTGCGATTTAAGCTCAGTCTTATAACTTATTTGATGTCTACGCTACGCCCCCAAAAAAAGATTAAGGTCTTAAATGCATTCTTGTTTAAAATCAATAGAAACTGTTTACTTTAGATGAGTGTTTGATCTTGTTTTTCGAGATGCATCAACAATTATACCAAAAGGTCTCACAAAGGATTCAAAATAAACGTCGACATGAAAGGAAATAATACATACAATCACTATTAACTACAACAAATGATGAAGACGAAAAGATAGACGAAGTAATATTACAAGAACAAGAACAATCAAATTTGACTCCGAAGTACATTTATGAAAGTGAAAATACGACGAAAATACTTTCTATGATTTGTCGTGGACTCGATATTATTAGAATATTTTTTTTTATTTTATCTGTCTGCTATTGCCTTTTCTTTTGTAGTTTTTTTACGTGATATCGGGAACATTCTATTGTTTTTTTCTTATATTGCGAAATTGCTGTCTCTTTAACGTATTCTCCGATGAAAATTACACCTATAAAAATCTCTCTCGCGTCATTTATGTTTTTATTGCCTTTTCCTATGTGTGAACGCAGTTATAAAGAGTGATAAGACATATAAAACAGTAAAAAATGTGATTGATAGTAGATTTGCTTGAAAGAATATGTTGGTCAGTATAGAAAAATAGTACGAAAATTTGATATATTACGGCGTAATTACAAGTTTTGCTGCTGGACACGACGGCGTAACACTACCAAAAATCGTAATTACGGCGTAAAGCGATCGTAATAGCGCCCACAATTACGTTCGCAATGTTGGCATAACTGTGGCGTAATTTGCCCGTAATTTAAAACATGGGTTCTCTTTAAATCTTGTTCCAGCCATCTAAATTGATTGATAATTTGTGTAAAACTATACTCTAATTAAAAAGGAACTTGTACTGAAAAACTAATTATATAGAGAGATAAGTTTTGGCCAGTGGTATTACTCAAATCACCCACCGTAAACTAAAAAAGTCATTTTGCATATTGTTAGAAAATAAAACACGAGGCTAAGCGCAAACGAGTTATCAACATGATAAACTAAAGAGAGAAAAAAGTTCTATAAAACTGATTTTAATTAAAAAAGTTAAGATTCAATTACAAATCTCGGAATTTAATGGACAACATTTATAAAGCTGTCGAATGCATATGCTGAATACAAGGTGTCATTGTTATTAGATGCATAACAATAAGTTTAATGTGACAATTACTTGATACAATTCTTCGGCAGTGTATTCCAGTGGTGGTATCGATTCGGTTTGAAATTGAGAAATGCTGCGGGTTCGGTTTTAATGGTCTCTTTTGAAAATATGAAAAACTTGCTGAAATAGAAAAAACTATTTTGTTGATGAAACACACAAACGTCCAATATGAACATGAATATTTTCATTCACCCTGGTCATTCTCTTGTTTTCTCGTGTATAGTATCTGTTAGACATGTTGCCAGAGCAGAAAGATAGATAGAAATCATGGAAAAGACGAGTAATTTGCATCACCGCAGCTGCGTTCGCTCTAAATTGATTTGTTTAAATTATATCGATTTGGTATAGACTTTCTGGAAGCTTGAATGGTACAGTTGTAAAAGAACGCGAAACAGTTCCTTTTGTGGTATATTCGACCATTACTTTTCTACTATTATTTTGAAATCCAATTTTATTTTTGAGTTTTACAAACAAAAAATGACATAACAAACAAATAGTAAAAAATGTTGAAAACATACATGATGTTTTAGTTTATTCTTTCTTTTTAGTTGTGTAATTATCAACAAAAAGAGGGCACATGTGTATGTGAAAGAGTAAGAAAACAAACCACAAATATTCAGTTCCCATCCCAGTCCGTAAGAAAAGAACTTAACATAGAACATCACTGTATGTATGAACGAATACCAGAAATACTATCTTACGATGAGGTAGAAAAGAGAAAGAAAGAAAGAAAGAAAAGTCCATAATTGAGTAAATATTTTAAGCTGCTCGTTTCCAGAACTTTTTTATTTCTTCTGGTGGTGGTTCTGGATGAATGTGAGTTACAACACCAGTGCCAACTGTCTTATTTTCTGTATCACGTAGAGTAAATCGAGAACCTTTTTCGAATACCTAGTAAATAATAAAAAATTAAAAAAGTGTAGCAATCAACAAGCAAGAAATTAGAATGAGAAAAGTTCATTTTTTAAATGTCTATCGCATACCATTCGTTTACTACTGTACATTGTTAAAGGAAGATCTTCACCTGGCATAATCATTTCCCTGCCTAGAAAAACCACAGCAAAAATGTTATACATGACAATAAGAAATAATGATTAGAAAATTTTAACCTTCTGGTGCTATTCCTTTTACACCAATATCAAATGTTCTACAGTACATTGTCAATGAGTATTCTTTTGGAATACTTTCTTCTCTTCCACCTTCTTCCTTTGTTAAAAAATAAACCTAAAATAAGTATATTCATATAACACAGAATAAAGGAATAATATAATGAATAACGATACTTGAGAATCAAATTTATTATGCATTTTAAGTGTTCCCGGCTTCGCAACAAACACACCACGTCTTACATCTTCTTTTTTCACATTTTTTAACATTATACCTAAAGTAACATCCGTTTGTATATTTATCATTCAATAAAACTCTTCTTTATTACCTAATTGATCACCAGGCTGTGCTGTATCGATTGTTTGATGAAACATTTCAAGACCTGAGATAAAATTGTAACAATTTATTTTTAATAATATCGATGATAAAAACTAATATACCTCCGACAATTCCTTTCACTTGTTTATTATGACCAAGTATTTCAATTTGGTCTCCTTTTTTAGCTACACCTCGTTCAACGCGTCCTGTTACAATCGTTCCTTTGTCTAAATAGAAAGAAATATATTTTACTATATTATTGAATTAGTCTACATTTAAATAATTTTTTTACTTGGTATTGAATAAATATGTTCAACAGGAAGTAAAAATGGTTGATCACTTGCACGAGGAGGAACAGGAATATACGCATCAACGGCCTCAAGTAATTTCAGAATTGATTCTTTTCCCAGTTTTGGATCACGATTCTACGATGAGCAAAATAATAGAATAATAATATAGAGTTCTCCAATGAGTAAAATAATATTTAATCAACAAAAACATTATTTCTATTTACATCTAATGCATACAACGCAGAACCGCTAATAATTGGTGTTTTTTCACCATCAAAACCAATTTGTGTTAATAATTCACGTAATTCTAATTCAACCTAAATAACAAAAAATAAATCAACTTGAGGAAATAAATAATAAAAACAAGACATACTAATTCAAGCATTTCTTTATCAGCAGCATCGGCTTTATTCATAAATACAACAATATGATTAATACCAATCTAAAAGACAAGAAAATACGATTTTTGTGCTTAAATGTCGTGTCGTTATTTTGTTTAATATACAAGAAAATCAAGAAATAAACCTGTTTTGCTAATAATAAATGTTCACGTGTCTGAGGCATTACACCATCTGTTGCGGCAACAACGAGAATCGCACCATCCATTTGCGATGAACCAGTTATCATGTTCTAAAACAATATACCGATAAGAGATGAATAACTTAATGTACACAATAGAAAGTATTACTTTAATATAATCGGCATGACCTGGGCAATCAACATGTCCTGAAAAGAAAATCGACAAACTTATTAAAACATGAAAAAAACAATTTTTCGCCATACCATAATGCCTCGATGATGTTGAATATTCAACATGTGCAGCATTTATCGTTATTCCACGTTTCTTTTCTTCTGGCGCATTATCTGAAGAAAACCTAACCATCTTATTTGACTTTTAAATTCAAACTAACAACGAGCGCTGAATCCTATTTTATTAGTCTCAGTTCATATTTACGTACCTATGTCTTCATATTTTTTCACTTTAGCCAATTTTTTTTCACTTAAAACTAAAAAAAATATTCTGAAATATTTTGTGCACTGGATAAAACGGTCATACCTTGTGTAATAGCCGCTGTTAAAGTTGTTTTTCCGTGGTCAACATGTCCAATTGTGCCAATATTAACGTGTGGTTTATCTCGTTTAAAAACCTTTTTTTCAATCTGAACAGCTTGTGCTAGACAACGTCGAAGTTGGTGTTGAATTAATGATATGTCAGTAGCTTGTTGCTAAAACATGAAAAACTACATTTTTCTTTGATGCGAATAGTTTATTTTGACATTACCCGTACACAAAATAAATGTTGATAAGTTGTAGGAATGATATGACGTAATAACAAAGTGCGTGACGCCATTCAATAGAAACTTAGTCTAAAAATATGAATAGTTTAACGCTAACAAGGTTTCTTTTGGCCATCTTACGGCAACAAAGGTTCGAAGATAGACTAAATAGGCAAATGCCGTTCAAAACATTGCAATCACAAGAAAGAGAGAGCGGTTGAATGATTATCGTGATCATTCATTTACAGTTAAGACCATGCATAAGAGTACATCAATGTTGATTTAATTCAATTATCCACCTACACAAAACTATAAGAATGGGACCAGTATATAATAATGACGAAAAATTGAAAAATCAACGTATATTTTGTCCTATAGAAAATACAGCCGCGTCAAATCAAGAATGTTCCTTTTTGTCTTTTATGAAAACTCAAAAGCAAAGTCAATGGTATATACACGTGCACATTATTCGAATGGGAAAATGATGTGTCAGCTTCCAACAGATACTTTACAGGCCTAAACTGTTGAAGCTTTGAACTTTGTTACATTTGTGAGTAAAAAACGTTTTGTGAATCTATCTAACGCCTAAATTTGTTTTCGATTTGTATAAAAAAGGAACGAGGGATGAAGATACATTGAAATAAAGTTTACAACTCTACAAAATTATAACTCTTGAATACTAAAGAAAGCCATAAGTTTCTAATTTTTCATTACAATCTGAATAACAAACAGGTCTGTCGCGAACAGTGGAAGGTACTGTAGATGATACTCATACTAGGTTTCAAAGTTGTTTTTTCCAGCAAAAGTCTTTTATAATACCTTTGTAATGGTCTTGTGATCCTTAGACCTCATCTAAGAATCTGAAGGTCGCGATATTCGTGATAACAAACTGTAGAACTAAACTTCAAATTGTATACTGACTATTAGTAAAACCGACTGCATCCTCAAATATCAGATTGTAGATATGATGTGACATTAGAAATCTTGATGGTAGAACTTTATGGAAACTATAAGTAAATCGATCGATTGGGTTGATTAGTCTAGAAAAAAAACTAAACTAGCAAAATAAGGAATATTCCGAGACGTTATCAAGAGAGTCTCATCGCATGTCTGTCGTACAATAGTGAATTTAGTTCTTCTTACTGTGGCTGTTTCAAAAATCCGACAGTACTGATATAAATAAAAGTCATTATTACAAAACAGCCTCATATAAAAGAACTCTCATCTTCATAGTAGTAAATGTTCACTTTCATCTTTTCTGTTCCTTCAGCAAGATAGGGTCATGCAACGTCGAATGGATGATAGCGATAGCTGACGCCTCTGTAGTCGATTTACCAAATGATCATAGGTAACCAAGTACAGAAATTCATAAAAGTAGAATTCAACAATGTTTTGTCTGTTACACTCTTTAAATACAATGACTTGATTTCCGTTTTCCGTTAGCCGATAAAATAGACCAATCAGATTTTTCTGAGGGAAGAATGAATTTCGCATTTTACTACAATTTCTTTGTTTTTGCCTTTTATCCTGCTTCTTTTGGTAGTCACATTATTTTCCGTTTATAATGAACGATTTCAAGTATGAGAGAACAGTTACTTTTTCTGCATAAAATAAAATGAGCGTACCTGTATTTACTCGTATACAAGATATTAGAAGCCAAAATTCATTTACTCTCGTTGACTGCGCAATTATGAAATTATTTTGTTTGATAAAGTACTTAATAATAAATCTCAAAAACGTACTTTAATCAGTATTTGTTTACCGGTAATATGCCGTTTTGAAGCATTGATGTAGGAACAGTACCTAATAGTGTCAGTCAAGTAAAACTTGAGATTTATGTGTATTTAGAGCTTTTAATTAAATGGTCTTCACACCATCGTAGTTTAAGATAAAACGTAAACTTTATCCATTTAGTAGATTATTTTTTCATGATCGTTTCTATTGTTGTTTCGTTTCCGAGTGCTCTTCCTGTTCTTAAACTACGACCAAAAATATCTTTCGCATTTGATTTCTCTGGAACCATTCTCTGTTCATTTTAGATGATTTCGAGCGACTCAAATGTCAATGGTATTCAACCTGACTCTCAACCGGTTATTTTGGAATCGTCGATCAAGACGGTTTCAACGCCAAAAGTGACAAAAAAACAACTAAAAGTAAGTTTTTTTCTTTTTAGATTTGACAGTTGAGAATGAACGAATCAGGTTATCTCGAATGGCTAAGACGTGTTTAGCAGACTGACATAAATATTACTTATGGGCATTACCTATTGATAAGGATGCTTATTTTTTTAGCAAGCTGAACGTGATGATAGAAAGCGCGCAAAAGAAGAAGAAAAGCGTGCAAAAGAAGAAGAAAAGCGTGTAAAAGAAGAAGAGAAGCGTGCAAAAGACGAAGAAAAGCGTGCTAAAGAAGAAGACAAGCGAAAGAAAGACGAAGAAAAACAGAAGAATGACCAGCTTAAAGCAGCTTACAGGAAAATGATCGGAGATGAGAAACAGTAAGTAAGAAGGTTTAATAGAATTGCTAAAAGACAATCCGAGCGATTGTGTTTATTTATTATTTTCGTTTTCAGAGCAAAAGATGCTGAAAAACTCAAAAAAATGGAAGAGAAACTACAGAAACAACAGAAAGAAGAAAAAGAAAAGAGAAACATGGAAGATCGACTAAAAAGTTTTCTTAGAAAGCCGTCAATTGTTTCACAAGTAAGAAATTTTTCTAAATATTACGAGAATCATTCTTTCGATTTTTATAGGTTGTTCAGCAAGTGGCACAAGAACAACGTGAAAACAATGGTGATGATTTGAAAGACTTTGATGAATGCGTTTTAAAACAAGTATGTATTAGAGAAAATGAAATCGTAGACTATTTTAACCGAGATATTTTTTATAGGATCAAAATATTTTGTGTGATATTATTAAAGATATTATTTTTTCACAGTCAAAAATAACAAAAGATTATGAGAAGTAGATCAACGTAACACTTTTGTAGTGCTAGATTTTTCTTAAAATCTTTCTTTTTAGTTCATTGCATAAATGCAACAGCGACAGTATTGATATGAAATATATTCATTTTCCAAGAAAGTATTTTATTCGTCCACCATATTATGGCACATTTAATGAAGGAAAATTGATTCTAGCTGATGCCACAGCACCGTATGCTACTGTTGATAATGTGTGTTTGTTCTTTTGAATCCATTCATTCTGAAACTGGCAAAAGTTTTTTTTCATTTAGACTATTGATTACGATGATGATTCCGTACTTGAATGGGACGATGGGGAAGAAGCGGAAGATTGTGAAGGCTCAGATATCGTAAGTTATTTTAGTTTTACTTTCCCCACTCATTTGTTATTTCAATTCATCTTTTTCATTTTAGGATCGAACATCAAGTGTTGGAAGTGATGTGGCCGATGAAGATGATGAACTATTTGTTGTACCCCATGGTCATCTGTCGGACGATGAAGTTGAAGAAGATGAACGTCCAGTAAGTATTTTCAGCTCTTAACAATCAATTTACACATTTTTTGTTTCGGCTATTCCAGGCAACAATTCAATTAAAACAAGGACGCGAAGCAGCTAAATCAAGTGTGTGGGACAAAAATATTCAAAAAAAGAAAGCATTACGTGATTTAAAGCCCATATTTGGCTGTGTCTACGATAATAAATACTTACCATACCAAGAGAAATTGAAAGAAATTCAGAATGAGTGTCAACAGTATAAAGTAAGATATTTTACATGTATAGAAAATATGAAAACAAGCAATGATATATGAAACATAATGTTAAACCTCGCATTTCATTTAGATGATACGAGTTTCAGCAGAAAAACCAAATAGTTTTGCTCAAGAAAAAATGACAAAAGTAGTTATAACACCAAAGTCACAAGAACGTCAAGTAAAGGGTATGCAGAAATAATACAAACAATCTCTTGTGTAATATAATTAGCCTTTTGTAAATCTCAACACGAGTTTTCTAGAAATATGACTATTTTATTTGTTTTAGGTTCACCACAATTTCATCAGGATACAATTCCATTCAAATCACAAACGAAACGTTCCTCTTCGAGTAAACTAATAGTCGAATCACCATCAAAGCGTCGTAAAACAAATGTTTTGAAAACAGCAGTTAATGATTCGGCTACGAATGAGGAATATTTGATGACAATAAATTATGAAGAAAATATGTTTAAAAGTAAAGGTGAAAGAAAATTATAAATGATGAAAATAACGATTTTGTATTTTTTACTTTTTAGCCAATGTTAGTGATAAAGAAGAACAAAAACTAAAAATGAACATATTAGAAGATACGAGTAATTCGAAACTTCTCACAGTAGAATCAATCGATTGTGAAACAAAACATTGTCGTACAACGTCAACTGATCGTGATAATATGGATTTACAGTACTGTGTCAATTCCGCTGATCAAATAACTGATGGTAAGTAATATAAATAAAAAGACTTTCAAGAACTTTGAATGATGAAGAAATGGAAGTTTTATGTCCGTAAGAAGATGTTCCTTCTCATTTTTTTGTTATTCTTCATGTCTATTATATTGTGTATTACATAATATCGAAAACACATGTTAATCATGTCAGTTTAATTAAAATGAACATCAAATGATTGGATAGAAAAAATACATTTCAGTCGCCGCATTACAGATCAAAGCATCGCGTTTTTCGTACGATTCCTTTTCATATAATGTTAAAATTTGTGGTCATGTTACTTTTTTTAAAGGTTTTACTCAGCCAGTGTCACAATCACCACCAATGGTCAAATTATTGGTTGCAAGACGAAAAAATTAACAAGATTGGTGTTCTTTGTGCGTTTTTTGAGAGAGTTATTTTCTGACAGAGTTTAGTGTAAATTCTTTCTTTTTCCTTGTAAATATTCAACCTGCACTACATTTTTTATATATGCATAGATGAAATCAAGAGAAGTTTGCCATGTCGATTTTTGGAACTTTTTTCGATGTTTGTTGCGTTACAGTGCAACAAAAGCGACTTTTAGATCGTTTGTCTTTAAAAATTATTGCATTGTTATGCAACAGAAACGTGCAATCAATGCGAGAAACTTTTTTATTTTTACGTTGTGACGCAATAGTGATGTTTTGGGGATTATTTTTGTAATAACAAGTTTTACCGCAATTCACCGCGCTAATTTTCGATTGCATTTTATTTTTGTTATAAAGCAAGAGATCTCAAGTGTGTGTCTCTAATTTTCAATAAATCGTCTCAAAACGAGCAAGACTGCTTTCGATATTTGTTTCGTATTGTTGAATGTGTTTCACATGGATATTACCTCTAAATGAAAAATTAATGTTTTCTGATCTATGTTGAGTGTCGGATTGGTAATCAGCGTAAAAGACAAAAACTTGAAAATATTGTCATCAGAACTATACTCATAAGTGTGCGTGTGGGGGGGGAGGGAGAGCTATTCGATATCTCATTCTTCTACTCATTAGTCTTCCAGGCTAAGCCAGTTTATGTAAACCCGTAAATTATGGAATAAACTTTCTTTCCCACTTGTCTTCGTATCATTCCATAACATCTTCAAAACACTTCTGGAGCATTTATTTTAAAACTGGTTAAAACCTATTTTAACTTATTTGTAACCCCCCCATACTTTCAAAAAATTTTGCTCTAATTTACTCCGATTTTGATAAAGTCGGAGTAAATAACTCCAATTTTACGATTTACCCCCCATACTCCAGACCTCCTCGCGGCGCCACTGCATACACACTACTGCTTCTCCACTTGTGTACATAACGTGTTTGATGAAGACGTCCTCGACGTTGAAACGTTACAATACCTGTTAAATAAAATAATTTAGAACGAATATTTATTCTTGAAAATCTTTCAACTTATACTTGTTTTACTCTTCCACTTTTCGATATTGAATCCATAATTTTTAGAATAGAATCTTTCTTCATTCGAGTCATTGTATAAAACTCTCTGATGTTTAATTAATAATGTAATATTAAAAATTGAATAAATTACAGTAGAAGAAAATTACTTATTATTATAAAGAGAATAAGCTTTATGTTCAAGAACAAATTTGATTGTTCGTTTTATGCAAAACAAATATTAAGATTATTTCAGTTTATAGAATTGTTATGTTTAAAGGATTTGGAATTTGAGAATGTTGCTATGGACTTGTTTTTATAATAACAAAAAAAAAAAACGGTGTTGGAGGACGAGTACATAATCAATCTTTGTTGAAAAAAAAACAAAGACGTGACAGATTATGTTATATACTTAAATCTAATAAACAATACTTGTCCTTCCTTCATTGATCGTGTTTTGAAATGTGAAAAATTCTGAATAATATATTTAACAGAAATTTTATTGTTTTTTTTATAAATATATTATCTCTTTCGAATTTAGATGTAGAGAACAGAAGATAAAACAAAAAGAAAATTTTCATAAATAGAAAATATGTTCAGTAATATTTTTTGTCTCATTTAAAATAGAAGAATAAAAAAAGAACATACTATTAAAATAGTGATAAATATAACCTCGTACAAAAAGAAAATGCTTGCATGTCGGCTTTAATAATTATCTCAGATTACAGAACGAAAAAAGTATGCAGGTGAACCTTTTTTTACAAGTTTTTACAAAACGATGATCCTCTGTTACTTCCTTTAAATTTTTCTGTTAGGCAACATGCATTTATTTCTCACTGTCACAATTAATTATTAGTCATTCACGCTATTCTCGAAACAGAATTCTTTTTTCTTTTTGTGTAATATAATACGACTGGAAAACACGTATCTTTTACAAAAGTATATAGAAAAAAGTGTAGTTGTGTGCGTGTAATAAGAAAGTGTTACTTCATCAAAACACTTCTTTTTGTGTATGAGTAATTGTTCACTTTTCCAGCTGATTTTAAAAATTGATCGATTTAATAACGAATTATCTAATCTACTCTTTCTCTACTCTTTCATACTTTCTTTATACGTTGCTGCTGCAAGTTTCTCACATGTCGTCTATTGTAATATGCACGCATACGTGCAAAACGTAAGTAGAGTAGCCTTGAGTAATTATGATTAGCATTTCAAATTTTTGAAGTATTTTGCTCATAATAACGTCATTGTTGATCGTAGAAAAACGGTATTGAATAGGTAAATATACACCTATCTACCAATGTGAACATTTTCTAACAAATTCA